GTCATCACAATTCACTGCATCCTCCAACTTCTGGGCTCAGGCAATCGTCCTGCCTCAACCTTCTGAGTAGCTGGTACTATAGGCACTAGCCACCATGCCTGGCTAATTTTTTTAATTTTTTGTAGACACAGGGTCTTCCTCTTTCTCTGGCTGATCTCAAACTCCTGGCTTCAAACAATCTTCCTGCCTTGGCCTCCCAGAGTGCTAGGATTATAGGTGTGAGCCACCGCCCTTGCGCACCCAGCACCCCCTACACCCAAGATTCACTTTTTTAATGAAAAGGTCTGTTTTCACTTAAAAAACAAAATCATAATTACATAAAAAAGAAAGCATGTTACTCTCTTCATGGGACTGGCAGAAACCTAGCAGTTCAGATCAGTAGGTTGTAATCTAGGCATCTTTCATCACCTGTTGGCAGCACGACCTATTGCAAGTAAGCAAGTTTTAAACCCAAGCTTCTAGCAAAATAGCAAAATCACACTACCAAGAAAAGCATGTGAGAACCTCCACCCCTAGGAGAATTCAGTTCAAGTATTTTCTAACCTAATCCATTCTATGATCAAGAAACTGGGTTTGGCTGGGTGTGGTGGCTCATGCCTGTAATCCTAATACTCTGGGAGGCAGAGGTAGGGGTCAGGATGTGGAATTGTTTGAGGTCAGGAGTTCAAGACCAGCCTGAGCAAGAGCAAGACCCCTAAAAAATTAGCCAGTAAGGTGGCATGTGCCTGTAGTGCTAGCCACTCAGGAGGCTGAAGAAGGAGGATCACTTGAGCCCAGGAGTTTGAGGTTGCAGTGAGCTAGGATGACATCACTGCACCCTAGCCCAGAAGACAAAGTAAGGACCTGTTTCAAAAAAAAAGAAAAGAAAGAAACTGGGTTTGAGTCTATCATAACGATACCCTAAAATCCTATATGTTCCATGAATTTATGAATAATTGTGTGCAGGTTCAGTGAACAGATTCTGAAATTAGACTGCCTGAACTATAATCTTACAACCTTGCCATATAAGAAGTTACTTAAATTCTCCTAATCTGTAAAATAGGGATAATACTATTACCTATTTCATAGGATCCTTATGAGCACCAAACAATTTAATCCCTTCCAGGCACTTAGAACAGTGTCTGGCCCGTAATAAATGCTATAGAAGTGTTTGCTATTATTATTATTAAATAGAATGTTTATAAAACTTCTCTAAAATTAAACTGAAAAATACATTTTTCAGAAAGGAATTTGTACTTTTCAAAACTGTACATAAAAGGAAAAAATAAGCATAAACTGTTTCATGTATGTCTTCATAGTTCTGTAGTAGACCATGCTGGTCCTATATGATTATTGTGTGAATATAATCATGTAATCATTTGGTTAGATGTTAAGAGTCTATTTTTCTTGATTTCTCCTCACAGAATGGTACATGACTAAAATTCTAAACACATGAGAATGTTTTTCCTGTCTTATGATCCCGTCTATTTTTCCTATGCCACTGTCAGCAATTTGGCAAAATGTGTTCTCAAGTGTTTGAGCTAGGAAGGTAAAAGTTTATATGGCAGAGTAACATTTTACTTTTATTGACTCTGTATATATTTCATATTTTTAGTTCTCCTTTTATCAGAATGAGCATGAAAACTCAAAGTCTAATTTAATAATGCGGACAGACTAAAAATAGCATCCTTAAATCTGTCAAATTGTGATATCTGTCATTGCAACGAATGAGATAGGAAGGCAAGAATAACCTCTGGTAGAAGTTCAGTATATCAACAAAGAAAAACATTTGTTATTGATTATCCTTTCTTGTGTTTGAATTTCATCTTTTAGTATAAACAGGTTGATAGCATCAAATTGACTTCCAGATTCCTTTTCAAGAAATAACCACTTGAATGCGATGCTCCATATTATGGACATCTGGCAATGAGCTACAAATACAGAACCAACTATTCAAAAAGAACAGGGGAAAGCAGATTTTAAAAATGGTTTATGCCTTTTACCTACTTTTTTTCTTTAGTCAATTTGGGAAAAAAAACCTTCTAGCAATTAAAAACGTGCTGTTTTTCATATTTTTTGTTTTTCATATTTTTTAAATTGCAGAAAAGATCAGACCATAATTAAAAATCTTAATTTCCACGCCTTTCTTCATTCTTTCTAAAATACTGTACCTTTCTTTAATTCATTAACCTGGATTTATCCTGTCTGGGTCATCTTATTATTAGAAACTTTCCCTCATCATTCATAGATTCCTTTCAACTTGATACCAGAGCCAGGAACCCAAGGTTCTGTGTACAAGGGCACCTGGCTCCAGGAGACTCTAAGACTCTGCTCTCAGTCAATAGCTAATAGCAATAACTCAGTGGATAGGGGTTTTGGATAACACAGCGTGAAAGGAAGTGTTTGGAAAAGATAGATGGGATCTTTGGATTACATTTTCAACATGGTGGCTTTGATAAAGAATTAAATATAGCCGATTGGGAGTAAAAACAGAAAAGTCTTAATAACGTGTAACTTTTAACATGTTAACTCTTAACTACCCTCTGCTTTCTAAAAAAAACTTTTCTATCATCCAGCTTTAGGATTTTGAGTCCTGCTCTTTGAAGAGTTCTGAAAGTAAAAGAAGTTTGATTAGATTAAGTTTAATAAAGACCAAGACTTCTGATAAAATGCTGTAATTCTCTAACAGAAGTTCATAACAAATTAAGTAATAAATGTGAAAATTTTCTCTGAAGAGATATCTAGCCTCAAAAATACCTAACATTTTCTATTATAAGGGTCAGCAAACTTCCAAAATTGGGGGCCGAAGTGTCTCTAATGTGAGAGAAGCAGGCAGTTGTAAAAAGGAGAGGGCGCTTAAGTAAGGCTGCGACATGTAGTCTGTCTGACAAACACAATTTCATTAGACACATCTCAGTGCTTTGGAATTCAAACCACAAACTCCCAGGCAAAACCGTATATGTTAAAAGCTGTTCAAGTTTAACAGTTTACAGTGGAAAGCAACTCCACCAGGAAACTCACCACCACATCTCCCTCCTGTGGAAGGCTGTTTGCTGGCAGCCTATTTTTCTCTTCATTGTTGTGGTACAGGGCTCCATCATTTCTCATCACCAGACTGTGCACATCTCGGCCAAGAGGAATCTGATTCAAGTTAACTTTCTGAGTTGCAACACCAATACCCCAGATTCCTAAAAATACAATAGTTTAAATGCCCCCAAAATCTGAAGAATACAACTTTAAATGGAGTTATTTTAAAAGGGGGTGTAAACTTTTTAAAAAGAAGTGCTGTATTATCACTAAACTGTTTTCTATTAATCTTCTTCTAAAAGTAGTTTGCAAACTATACTATGTTCTCTATAGATGTAGTACAGTCTAGTTGATAAGAGAGTGGGCCCTGGAATTGTGTTGCCAAGGATTAAATCCTGACTTAGCTGTGTCATTTTGGGCAAATTACTTAACCCCTCTCTGTTCCCTCATCTGTGAACTGAGGATTCTAACAGTACTCACCTCACAGGGTTATGAAAATGTATGATGAGATAATCCAAGTAAAGCACTTGGAACAGTGTGAGTGTTCCAAAAAATGGGTAAGTAAAGCATACACTAAATGTTAAAAAAATGCTATCATCATCAATATTCTCTAAAAAAAGACCTTTTAAAAAGCTACACATTGAATTTAAATGGCCTAGAGTTCTATTTCAAGTTCTACCTCTGAGAAGTGGGAAAATATTGTCTTCGGTTTTTGCATCTATAACAAATAGCAAATATATGTCATGAACAATATCATGGAGAAGAGAAAATTAATGATAAAGTATAAGTCAAAATCATTTTCTAACCCAATGCCTAAATTGGCGAGTTTAAAACCTTTTGGTCTAAGCTGACTTATGCAGCAAGCAGCTTTCCTCTTAACCAAACAGCATACCTAAAGCTCAGGATTTTGTCTCAAACTGCTTCCTTTGCACTTTTTATCAAAATCAGGAGAAATTCTATAAATGGAAGGTTTGAAGACCATGTTGTCAATCAATTAATTTTTCTAGATTGAGTGAGACCATTAGAAAGTTGTGTGTCTGGACTCCACTGTCTTGGCTCCCTAAATAATTTGGCCATGTACTTTTATCCTCCAAAGTGGGAAAACTGTGAGAGTGATAGGGGGTGAATTAGGATACTAATTTCACAGGACAACACTGCAAACAGGGTTCTACAGTCTCCTCACTCCCAAAGAATTGTGCGTGAACGGTTGCCTCAAACTTTCATTGCAGGATCAATGCTACAAACTCCAACAATCCATTTATTCTAGGGATATCACTGAGGACAGTATCCTTCACAGAAAACCCACATAAAAATTTGTATTAGATTTAAGACTAAAGAAAATATTTGCTTCTCTTGAGAGAAAAGTATGCTATACTCGAGAACTGATCATAGTAACCAGGGACATTTTGCAGCCAGTGGGCTAATTTATAATGGAATGGAGGACAGATTCAGATTTATTCCACACACTTCAAAAAAAATCAGTGCTTAACACTAATGTAGAAAATAAGCCTCAGAGGGATATTTTATATCGTTCAAGGCTAGTTGGGTAATAGGATTCATTTACTCTATTTTTCTTAACTATACCCATATTACTCATGCAGTATTTTACTAGAGGTTTCTTTATAACACAGCTTTTATTGAAAAAATTTCCCCGTATACAATACTGCCACAAGTTAACTAACCTAGTAGTCATGTAGAATTGCTATACAATTCAAGAAACTCCATAAATCTTTAAAATAGAAATATATACTTTAGATTTCTATCTGAATTCTGAATCTGAGGATTGCTTTGAGACACCGAATTAGGGTATCTTAACAAGAGCTAAGAGGAAAACCGAAGATCAAAAGATTGATTTTATCCTAAGGTCAATAACCAAAGTATATGCTATTTATATGCTTGACCTTATACACTTGACTAAGAAAGATAGTGCATCTAGAATCCACTAAGAATGCTAGTGCCTACATTTATCCAGCATGTCTTTATATATGTAGCTCCTGTAAGGCATAAAGGGCAGCTCTTGTATTACCCATTTTATAAACGAGAAAACTGAACCTAAGTTAACTAAATTAACTAATTTAACCAGGATGGCACAATAAGAGGTGGAAGATCTAGGACCTATGTCTTCTATGTAAGAGTTTGGTGCTTTTTTATTCCCCTCTGAATCATTTTTATATATTAAAATTACTCTTAATATTTAGAACAATTAGGACTTCTAATAGTAAAGTACCATTATACCAACCTGTGGACTGGATTTTGAATTCAAAGTAGCTTTTGTTTTGATGTAAAGGTGCACTGGCTAAACAACCTCCTGTTCCACATATTCTTCTTCCATTTTTTACAATGACAACATCTGTTCCTAAATAAAAAATGCAAATACTATGTAAAGTTTTGTATTTTCATATCCAACAATCAGGGTTAACTTGTTCACTTCTAATTCTTAGTCCACAAAAAATAGGGATTCTATATATATATATATTTTTTGAGACAGAGTCTCACTCTCTTGCCTGGGCTAGAGTGCCGTGGGGTCAGCCTAGCTCACAGCAACCTCAAACT